TTATGTCACTCTTATAAAATACTGTTACATTTGCATTAAATCTGTACGGTTAAATTTACAACGAAGCCATATCTCAGTAGACAAAGATTGAGAATTACTACAATTTCGGTAAGTAATTCAAACAATCTAGATAAATATCACTCTTATGTCACTCTTATAAAATACTGTTACATTTGCATTAAATCTGTACGGTTAAATTTACAACGAAGCCATATCTCAGTAGACAAAGATTGAGAATTACTACAATTTCGGTAAGTAATTCAAACAATCTAGATAAATATCACTCTTATGTCACTCTTATAAAATACTGTTACATTTGCATTAAATCTGTACGGTTAAATTTACAACGAAGCCATATCTCAGTAGACAAAGATTGAGAATTACTACAATTTCGGTAAGTAATTCAAACAATCTAGATAAATATCACTCTTATGTCACTCTTATAAAATACTGTTACATTTGCATTAAATCTGTACGGTTAAATTTACAACGAAGCCATATCTCAGTAGACAAAGATTGAGAATTACTACAATTTCGGTAAGTAATTCAAACAATCTAGATAAATATCACTCTTATGTCACTCTTATAAAATACTGTTACATTTGCATTAAATCAGTACGGTTAAATTTACAGCGAAGCCATATCTCAGTAGACAAAGATTGAGAATGACTACAGTGAAATGAAGATTTATGTAACTACATCAATATGATGCCGCGAACGAAAATACCAATACAAGAAATTTTCATTTTCACTCATTCTTCATCCGTTATAATCGCAGTAGCAATGGATAGCGGAGATACAGCTGATTAAAATGATTCGAAATAAAAGTGACTCGAAATCATTTGAGATCGAAGTAACAAGGCTTCAAGAATCGATTTAACCAAACTGAACGCGTTCTAAAATCTGATGCGTTTCACAAGTTCTTGGACCCAGCATCGAAAATCGTTTTATGCGAGATCGAGTCCGAGAAGATAGTCGTGGTTTGCTCCTGGTTCCATGAAATGTTCGTTTGGCAGAGAAGTCTAGCACGTGATAGGGTCCTCGTGATGGTTGCATCACGTGTTTTGACTGACTGCTGTTCGCCACGGTTGGAACATTGGGAAATGATGCGTGTCTCATACCTTCAAAGATATTCTCCACGCTCGGTCTCGTCGTTAGAGCCTCTTTACGATGACGTTCTTCTCTCTCTCTCTCTCTCTCTCTCTCTCTCTCTCTCTCTTCCTCTCTTGCAGACCCTCTTTCACTTTCTCTTTCTCTTTCAACGCGCAGCCAGGATTCTTCGAGGAATCGCGAGGAACGTCAGGTGGCTTGAGATCTTTATTGGAAACCCGCCGAGCCGCCTCTTCGTTGGCGAAAGTCTCCGAGAAGCTGGAGTACCTCACTGCCAAGGTCGTGGCACCGGGGAATTTCTTCGGGGTTACGGTGAATTCTTACGGGGAAATTGTGGATCTACTACGCCTTCGGAACAACCAGGCGTTCATGATGGTAAAAACGGCGGTCACTTTTTCAAGCTGTACGACCGATGAATTATTCGATTGACTACCGATCTGGCCATTCAAGAACGATTCCTCGCCA